CAGCTGGTCAGGACACTCTATGGCACCCTTGTAGATGGTGCACATGATGGGGATTGGAGCTCCAGCTCTTTTCGGCTTGCGGAAAAAGTAGAGGCGCTGGTGAGCCTTCTTGGCCAGTGATGCAGTGTTCCTGCTCCAGGACAGGTCCTCTGAGACGTGCACTCCCAGAAACTTGGTGCTGCTCACTCTCTACACACTAGTACTATTGCTGGTCAGAGGAGCATGCTGGGCATGCATCTTCCTGAAGTCCACAACAATCTCCTTTGTCTTATCCACGTTCAGAGAGAGATTGTTGTGTCCGCACCACAAGGCCAGGCGGCTCACCTCGTTCCTGTAGTCTGTCTTCATTGTTGCTGATGAGACCCACCACAGTTGTATCATCTGCAAACTTGACAAAGTAGTTGGAGCTGTATGATGGTGTGCAGTCGTGTGTCAGCAGGGTGAATAGAAGTGGGCTCAGCACACATCCTTGGGGGGCTCCTGTATTCACTGTGATGGTGCTGGATGTGTTACTGCCGACCCGTACTGCCTGTGGTCTCCTGGTCAGGAAGTCTAGCAGCCAGTTACACAATGAGGTGTTCAGCCACAGACTGTCCAGTTTTAGGATGAGCTGTTGGGGGATGATGGTGTTGAATTCTGAGCTGAAGTCAATGAACAGCATTCTAACATAGGAGTCCTTAGTGTCCAGATGTGTGAGGGCTGTGTGGAGGGCAGAGGAGATGGCGTCGTAGGTCGAACGATTTGGCCGATATGCAAACTGGAAGGGATCTAGGGAGGCAGGAAGGACAGAGTGGATGTGCTTCATGACTTGCCGTTCGAAGCACTTCATCAAGATGGGGGTGAGTGCCACCAGACGATAGTCATTGAGGCAGGAAGGCAATGCCTTCTTTGGGACAGGGGTGATGGTGGTGGCTTTGAAACAGGTGGGGACGATGGTCTGACTCAGCGAGATGTTAAAGATATCCGCGAAGACCGCTGCAAGTTCCACTGCACAGTCCTTCAGCACACGACCAGGTATGTTGTCAGGACCAGAAGCTTTTCGGGCGTTGATCTTGATGAATGATTGCCTTATGCTGTCCGTGGACAGCGTCAGCACCTGGTCATCGGGAGACGACCTGATTCAACCTTGTTAGATTCTTGAATATCTCCAGAAATCATTTGGGATCAAATACGCTAAAATAAAACCTGTATATGCTCTGTGCCACAAACTTTTGGTTCAGTCTTTCCATTTGGAAGACAGTAACCAAAGGAATGAATTATTTAGCATATTGTTCAATGAGAACTGTTGTAAGTACTTAAAAATTGAACTTACACTTTCACTCTTCCAACTTTACAACTGAAGTCGATGGAACTACAAAAGAACATGCATGTTCCAGAGGTCCAAGGTCAATATGAGATCAAAGTCCTGCTTGACTCCTGATCTTCATGTAAAAAAAAAAAAAGTAAATACCAGCATTCCAGTTTATTTTTTATATATGTCACAAAGATTTAGACCAAAACTGGTGGTGATGACTGGAGATATTCAGAGAAACAGTGAAGTGTGAAGTTCTGTAAACTCTAGATAATGCATGCATGAACAAAATGTATAACTTTTATTATTCCAAACTAAATTTGTAATGCAAAAACATGATCAATCTACAAAGTTTTCACTACATCAGTAATCTGTATGCCCCGAAGACTACTGAATATCCTGATGCATGCTCAATAATCCAGGTAGATAAATCTAACAAGTTTGAGTCATTACCAGTTTGTTGCAGTTCCTCAGTCTGAAGTAGTCCTTCAAAATCAGAATCAGAATCAGAATAAACTTTATTGGCATTGCACCGAGATACAACGCGAATATGTATGTACAGTCGTCCGAAGATGGGCGGAGTGCACAAAGCTGCGGCTAAAAATAATCAGCGCGGCCTTCTTATTCTTATTCAGAATAATGTTTTGCTTAGATAAGAAAAGGAAAGAAAAACATGAGGAGAGACGGTATAAAAAAAAAGATCTCTCACACCGTGTCCTAGACAGGGCACGATTTGAGGCATCAAAAAAACCTACCACAGCAAAGCAACATAAACAGATGTTATACATTTACATATAGGCGGTGAAAACATTGTATTTTTAAGGGAAAGACGTAGCATAGTCCAGAGCCCCCCCTCAGCCATTGTCCAGATAAGAGGTGACGTTCATCTTCAGCTCAGTTGAGGTTCTGTTACATGTCCACGGCCTTGGGGAAGGGAGGGGTGAGGAGACAGTCAAATCATCTTTGTTGTTTTCAAAACATTCCAGGAGGAGTTGAGATAAGTCCGGCATCAAGGCCACAGTTTGGGTCAGGTAGAACTCGTGAATTGTTGTTTCTGCCATTAAAGTCTCGCTGGTACATATTCTCTGAAAACTGGAAACTCTGGAAACTCCAAAACAGCCAAATTGATCCTTTACTCCAAAAGTTGAGCTCACAGCTTTCTCCAAGATTATTCCCATCATTCATGAGTGCTGCCAGGAAGATCACAGTCCTGATAACAGCTGCTCCAACTCCCTGTCACAGCTCCACATTCAGTCCGAGCACTGTCAAGCTTCAACACCTCCACACGAATTTGTAGACAACCAGATTCCAACAAACCCAAAACAGTAGAATCCAGTTGTCATCATGAATCCAATTTATCCTTCCGAGTTCAGAGTGTCCTCCTTACCCTGACTCCTGTCGGGAGAAGTTGATCGATTTTGTTGAGAGACCAGCTGATCCTTCCAATTAAGAGGTATGCAGGAAAAAAAAAAGAGGCTTTTTAAGGGCCTTCGGATAAACAGTTACCGTACTTTCCGCCATACACGCCGCACCACCGTATAAGTGGCATCAGTCCAAACATCATCATCATCAGCTTAATTTATAAAGCATTTTAACACAGTCACAGCTGAAACAAAGTGCTGAACATCAGTTAACAACAAATATGTCTAATAAAGTGGAAAATAAACATAAATACATTGCTTCACTGTATAAGTTGCATCTATTTTGCGTCACCATTGACCACCTGGAAACGTGGGCCGGTGTTGTGCCAAAAATCGATTGGCTGCCAAATGGTGGCCACGGGAGCAAGCACAAGAGGACTTTAACAAAAAATTAACAAGATTAACACTTAAAAACAATTATTTGTTTGCTTGACATTATAGTAAAGGTGTGACTCAGTTGAACTTTTCTTTAATAAATTTACTTTCATGGTCAAATCAGCTGCATTTCACCTGGGCGACGCAGCAAAATGCAGCTGATTTGACGTTTGCTCCAGGAGTTCCACAGCAAGATGAAAGTGGCCTCTGTGGCAAGCCAAGTGTCTCATTAATAGCCACTTTTACCTATTAATGAGACACTTGGCTTTCCATAAAACTCGAGCGTCCTCTAGCGACTGAAAATGGTAGTGTTCAATATTTTCCATGTCAGAATGAATGAAATTGTCAGATCTCACACAAAAATTGGGTTATAAATATAAAAAAAACATACATTAGTCATTTTGCTGTATATGTCGCAGGACATGCTAATTTATGCACAAAGGTGTGACTTATACAGAAAAAAATAAACAGTAAACATTTCAACAAAGAGCAATCCGTCCAGACGACCGGATTCAACCTTGTTAGATTCTTGAATATCTTCAGAAATCATTTGGGATCAAAAGCGTTAAAATAAAACCTGTAAAACAAACAGCAGCACTCCAGCTGACTGTTTCTCAGATGTAAATTGATGGAAAGAATAGACTTTAATCTCAGACTGGTTAAAGGTTAAACCAAAACCAGTGACATAGAATGTGACCATTCTCTCAATGCCACAGATTTAAATGCATGTCGATGAATTGGTATAGTATTTTAACCAACAACGTATTTGTACAAACTGTTTATAACAAGTAACAGTTGTCTACGACTCTTTAAAAACTTCTGCTGTTGATCTGACGTGAGTTAAATGGAAAATCCAGGGATACCAAGAGCTAATTAACAATACCTGGCTGCTACATCTATCCTGACTGGAAGAAGTCATGTTCTTTAAACTTGCATGATTTGAAAACACTCAATTCTGCTTCTGGCAGAGCAATTTCAGGAGACGTGTGGATGGAAATGAGAGAATAAAGAAGGCAAAACAACAAGTAATGCTAAATTGTTGGTGCAGAAAGATCTTCCATTATCTGTGTCGAAAATATCCCAAAAACTAAAGTGTGTAAAAAAAAAGGAATTTCTTTTATACATTAACATAATCCTGATATGCACATGGATGGATAGATACATGAAGAATATCATTGTTGTGTTTGTTATTTTGTTGCTTTTGCTGTTTTTGTAGAATTTCCCTCACCGTTGAGCTCTGATTCTTTTATGATGAAAAACCCCAGTAAAGTTTTCTCTCTTTTTTCTTTAGTCATGGCATGTAAAGATTACATTTCAGTTAGTTCTCCTGAACAACGAACATAAAATTCTAGTTTAAAAAAGGCATTAAGCAATAATAGAGCAGTAACAGTGTCACACTGGTTTTTAGGACAATTTCCAACAGCAGACCTGCTGTGCTGAAAGCACTGAGGATAAAACTTACAAGAAATGACTTTGGCTTTAACACCAAGGGAGCTCGTAGGCATTCTTGGCTTCAGGGGTAACAACCGGCATGATTTTTGCAGGTGCTCACCAATATCCCAGTGGTAGGCGTTGGCTTCCATCTCCATTTTCCCAATAATGTACCAGATGCAGGCCATCCAGTGTGCCAGAAGGGCAAACATGGACATGAGCAGAGTCAGGACCACGGTGCTGTGCTGCGAGTAGCGGTCCATCTTCTGCAGGAGCCTCAGCAAACGAAGCAGACGCACGGTCTTTAACAGGTGCACCACAGACACCTAAAAACAGAAGGGTTTACCATTACACATCACAAAATGAGGCCTGAAAGGGTGGCAAAGTGTTACAATTCACTTTTTTGTTTGCATGATTTTATTTAAAATAAATCAAATGTTAAAATGACGTGACATATTTCACCATAAGATCTATTTTTGATCATTATGATAAATAAGAAATTTGAACATTCTGGCCTAACGGCATACTTGAAGCAGCTCTTATGGTTCCCACAATTTCGTTCCACCATATGCACCACATGTGGCAGCAACATTTTGGATCAACTGAAGTCTTTTTAAAGAAGTATTTAGACATCCAGATAACAAACCATTGCAATAGTCCAGTCTAGACGTGACAAATGCAAGAACCAGTTTTTCTGCATCATTTTAAGATAATAAATTTCTAATTTTAGTGATATCACACAGGTGGAAGAGCGTGGTTCTAGTAATGTTTTTAATGTGGGGGATAAAAGACATGTCCTGATCAAAAATAACACCAAGATTTTTAACATTAGAGCTGGAGGACAGATTAATGCCATCTAAGGAGAGAGAAAGACTGAAAAATTCATTCCTAAGGTGCTCAGGTCCAAAAACTAAAACCTCAGTCTTGTCTGTGTTCAAAAGCAGAAAATTTAGAGTCATCCATGTTTTTATGTATTTAAGACAAGTCTAAGTAGCTGATTGGATTCACTGGGTTTCATGGACAAATATAACTGTGTATCATCAGCATAACAATTAAAATTTATCCCATGCTGTTTAATAGTGTTACCTAATGGGAGCATAAATAAGGTAAAGAGTATTTGTCCAAGCACTGAATCTTGAGGAACTCCATGACTAACTTTGGTGTAATGTAGTGCACAAATGCCAAAGCATGAAAAGATAACATGCCACTGCAATGACAAAACTGCAGTAACGTATCTTGTGATAAGGACAGTAAGGCTTTTCAAGGAAATTTGTCTAATTTTTGCCAATTTTAAAAGATCAAAACAGTCACTTAAATGTTTTACAATGTCCTGCTTACAGGCGTCTGAAACTGCAAAATAAACTTAAATAGACAAAGCACACTACAAAGGTTTTTTCTTTAACACACAATAAATCTCAAGGAAAGTAAAATGCAGCTTCATAAACACACAGTAAAAAAACTAAGAGGCACTTCTAATGATGTCTCATGCTCTCCCCAGCGTGAACAACTCCTCAAACGTTCTCCCTTTCCATAATTAGAACTTGACTACTCCTTGTAAACATTTTCACAGTAAGATCTATATGAAGATATACTGATGGAGGACCCTTGACTGTAAAAATACCAATTAGGGCAATCAGGCTTTTGCTCGTAAGATTGTTCGTTCTTTTGGATTTCAGTCTTCGCCTTCAACAGTAAGATGTTCTACTGTCTTTTTATTAATTTTATTAATAACTGTGGCTAAAGCACCATGAAGATTTCTTATACTTTACATGTTAAGTATCATTTCATCAGTTTTCTACTGTTAGGTGCAAGAAGACTTGGACATATTATGGTCTGTGACTGATACGATTTGCATCTCGACACTCTGACAATGATTTGATACATCAGATGGTGTAGGGCACAAACCAGTGCCACATGACCCAACTCACACAGTTCAATTCATTAATTACCATTATACATGTTTACGTTGTCTCAGAATATTCCAGTGCACCTTCATTGCACCTTTAACATCATTAATTAACATAAATAAAATATGCACTTGCAGTAACTCGGCAGTGAAAATGCACTTTTGTTACATTATGAGCAGTTGGGCTATAAGTGAAAGTTAACCTTTTACAAAAGCTTCTTTATAACTGCCTACAAAAGGGATTCTTAAAAACTATTTTAATTCCTTTACTCGTTGCTGTAAACATCAGTCTCTCGTCTTCAATTACTTAGAAAAACAAGAACCAAAATAATTAAAATAAAGTAATTTCAAAACACCTTTTGACAAATGTTTTTCAGATCATTGCACATAAAATGACCCCATCAATTATACTTTTAGTAGTGGAAGTGTAACAGTACTTTGTGCAATTGTTACTTTTGCTTTAGTACTAGAATTATATTTAGTGTATGTTTGCATTTTGCTACCTTTTTAGGACAGTAACCTCGTCAGGACTGGCGGTCCTTATTGAATGAACGTGTGCGTGCATGAGTGCATGTGTCTGTGTGTGTCTGTGCAAACGTAAATCGACTCACCACATTCTCACTTTCCTTTTGTGCAACAGCATTAGAGTAAACACATCCATAATTTAGCAATATTCTGTTTTTATTTACTGCAATTGCAGTCAGAGTGAAACTGTGTGTATATAAATTTTGTATTGTTTTATTTTATTATTCTATGTATTTATTTTATTCCTATAACCTGTTTGTTAGGATCAGGCCTAAAATAGTTTTGTTGCCTGCCTTTGCACTCAAAAATATTATGCAGTTATTCTCCCAGCCTTTAGAGGTCATATTTCCTGACCTCTAACTAGTCATAATTCATGGTGAAAATAAACTATGGAGCTGTTATTGGAAGGTTGACCACCTTCCTCAGACAATTTAGTCAACAAGACTATTATCTTGGCTATAAACATTAGCATGTATGCACATTTAAAGGAACTAATCATGAATGCTGGGCTAGGTCATCCAGGACATGGTAAATCCAGAAAAAAATGTATTAAAAAACAAACCAGCTTGACTTCTGTTCTGTTAAAGTAAGTAAGTAAACTTTATTTATATAGCACTTTTCATAGATAAAATCACAAAGTGCTTTACAGAAATGCAGATAGAGGCTTAAAATAAAACACAGACAGTAAGAAAAGCTGATAAAACCAGAAGTCAAACAGTCAGCTAAAATCTTGTCTGAATAAAAATGTCTTGAGCTGCATGAAGAGGCGTTCCACAGCCTGGGGGCTACGACCTGAAAGGATGGGTCACCTGAGTTTTAAACCAGGTCTTAGGACCTTTAGGAGGTTCAGTGCTGAAGACCAAAGGGTGCAAGCTGGAGAACAAAGGATCAGCATTTCAGTGATGTATTGGGGGACCTGTCCATTTAAAGCTCTAAAATAAAATACTTTTTTCTTCTTCTTCTTCTTTCGGCTGCTCCCTTCTTCAGGGGTCACCACAGCGAAGTAAGCCACACGAAGACTTGGAAATTATTTTTACGCCGGATACCTTTCCTGATGCAACCACAGACCACCGAGCTAACACAGCCCTTTTTGTGGAGTAGAGAGCTGCCATCTAGGGTGCCCGGGGGAGCAGATGGTGGGGGTCCAGAGTGGGGTAAATGAGGGTGGAAACAGGTGTGGGTGCTTCACCAATCCCACCCACATTTTGATGTTGTCGGTATGGGGAGTAGAACCAACGATCTTCTGATCACAGCCCCAAGCTTCTCTAACCTCTGTGCCACCACTCCCACTCTAAAAGTCAAGATTAAAATGTTAAAATTAATTCTAAATTCAAAAGGCAGCCAATGGTGAGAAGGTAAAACCGGTGTGATGCGTGACCTTCTATTAGTTCCTGTTAAAAGCAGCAGCATTCTGGACCAACTGGAGACGAGCGACAGCAGATTTGTTAAAACAAGTAAAAAGAGAATTACAATAATCACATGAGAAGAGTTAGAAACATGAATAATCATCTCCAGGTCAGATTTGGATAACATTGCCCTCAGTTTAGAAATATTTCTCAAATGATAAAAGCAACTTTTTTTTTTACCAGAAGCTTTGAGTGTTTTTCCAAAGACATTGACTGGTCGAACAGAACACCAAGGTTTCTGAGGCTCGGCTGAGAAGAGGAGCTCAGAGAACCGAGGTGTTGTTTGATTCAAGGAACTCTCTGTTCAGGAGCAATGATCAGGGTTTCAGTCTTGCTAGAATTTAACTGAAGGCACTCTAAAAAAGTTAAATCTGGTCCTCTGGACATTCAAAAAAACAAAACGAAGCAAATCAACAAAAAAATGTAGAAACGTTTCGTCTCTCATCCGAGAGGACCAGATTTAACTTTTTTAGATTTTTCTACCTGGATTATTGAGCATGCATCAGGATATTAACTGAAGGCAGTTGTTAGCTAGCCGTGCCTTAATATGGGAGACACAATTTACTCATTCAGCTAACTTCTGAGTCGTAGAAGGAACAGTGCAGTTGAATGTCATCAGCATACAAATGGTAAGACACATGACTGGAGCTACTGATAATCTTTGCAAGGGGAAAGATTATCCATCCGGGGAGCTTTCTCCATTTCCACAACTGGAGAGTGTGAAGTTTCAAACTTTCAAACTGCAAGTGAAGCTCCGTTATGCAACCTAGACTTATGTGAATTGAAAAGGTATTGAGCAAGCTGCTCAAATGGTGAGTGAAAAGTCTTCAATAAGGGAATAGAAGCCCAGTTATTTTGTTTTATTTATTTATCCATTTACTTATTTAGGCAGTTAGTTTGAATACACAAGAGACAAGACGAACAAAAGTGTCTTGTACAAGTTTGTGCCGGTTAGGAAAATATGGTAGATAGTTTGTAATAGAAACATATAATGTATGTTATCGATTTGGTGAGAATTGTGCATCTGAGAGAACAAGAGATGAAGACTACCAGAATCTTTGAACAAGCCCTGGAGAACAGATGTAAAAATCCTTATCAGGGTTGCCCCAGCACTTGTCTTCAGTTTGCTTTATGGTGGTTTTTGCACACTCTTGCTGTGAGAAATAAAGAACTGGTGCAGCACGAGTGGTAATGAAGCCTCCTACAGAGCCCTGGGGAGAAGCTCCGTCTTTCCTCCACTATATATCACCAACCCGCATCCCACCTATGGAGTGAGCAGGCTGTACCACATCGCATTCTGCTCCAACAGCACGAACAGTGAGCTATAAAATGTTCCCAACATGCATCTCCTGCTACTTACTCCTTCATCTTCCCCTTCTGCTGCTTTCATCACACACATGCCATTCACATTCTCATTTGCTCTGCCCATCAAGTGTGAAATTTACATTTTGCTACCTGATTGCTTCCTTTCCAACAGCTTTTTAAGGCAACTTTTGTGTTCATGAGGCTATAACTTTACAGAAATGCTCATTATTTCTCCCCCTGCAGGCTTGCCGTCAGCCCTACAAGTGTACCACAACAGCACGATGGGTCAAGTTTATTTTTATTTATGTAGCTGTACTGGGCCAGTAAGCATGGATAACACTGTTCTCCAGTGAGGCCCAGGAAGTGCAACAGGAGCAGCTTTAATGGTGGGATTTAATAGAACTGGTGGCAACCCATTTTTCCAAACTATCTCAGAAACAGTCCTCCCTGGTCATTTATTGTTCTATTTTTTACATTTCAAGTTAAAATTTGTAGAAATGAAAAAAAGTGTGATAATAGAAACAATTAATTTAAGTCCTAACAAAAGACTTTTCTTAATCTTCATAAATCAATTGTAGTTTTTGACATAAAACCAACCAGGAAGTGACATCCTTGCTCTAATTAAACCATGTGATGACAGTCTTTCTGGGACGATGAACCAAAACAATTAACATTTTGCCCAAAATGAATTGAGGTAAAATGAATTTGTTGTTTCTGCTAACAAACATTTTCCCCAATCCAATCAAAGTACTGTAGAACCATACATACATTATCTACACCCGCTTCTTCCTGTTTAATTTATTTCCTCTCTGGATTTCTTTGTGTGTTCCTCTTCAAATTCAGGGACAAACGCTCCTCCTTTGCCATTTCAGAGACAAAAGAGAACAGGCTAAGGGGAGGCCACATGTTTTGTCCCACTTGATAAGACGTGGTATGGCTCTGATGTCGTACGTCACAACGTAAGGTCTACATCTCGATGTACAGCTGTACGCCATGACATCATTACTGTTCAAAATCGAATAGCTCTTTGAAGGCCACGGATCTTCAAGATACAGTTCCCTTCAAAGAGACATGTGCCCCATCTCATTGGCCTAACCCCAACCATGAATCAACAGTGGGGATTTTAACAGTGGAGATTTTTTTTAACATTTTGTAGCTTTTTATTGCTGAACCACAACTCAAAAACAAGATTGTTCCCTACATCCTGTGCGCCACAACACCTCATCATGCCTAATTTAGAAGATTTTGCGACTTGGTACTGAAAACACAACAGGATTATACAAACTTTGTATATTTTTCAACGTGGCAACGGACTGAATTTGATGGAGGGTCAAATGTTCTTCCATCCATCTATTCACCCACCCATTATCTTTACCTGCTTCTTCCTTTTTGGGTCGCGGGGGTCACTGGTGCCCATACCCAGCAGTCACTGTGCAAGAGGCGTGGGACACCCTGGACAGGTCTCCAGTCCATCACAGGGTCACATAAAGACAAATGAGACAAATAACCATTCACTCTGTCTCTCTCACACCTAGGGACAATTTAGAGTTACTAATCAGTCTAACATGCATGTTTTTGGTCTGTGGGAGGAAACCGGAGTACCTGGAGAAAACCCATGCAACCCAACTCTAGGACAAGCACAAGATAATGGATGGATGGATGGATGAATGGATGGATGCAACTGGTAGAAACTGGGCCAGATCAGCTTATTTTGATTTCAAAGTGGATTTCAGTATAGATCACAAACCTGGTAGTGACTTCCGAGGTCCGTATGAATCTGACGGAGATGGGTGCAATGTGGGTAAAAATGGACGAAAATACAATTTGCATGCCATAGAGAACATTTTTGAAAGTTGATTCACAAACTTTGGTTGCAAAAAATACAGCTGCATAGCTCACCGGTCACAAACTGTCCAGAGGGACAGCAACACAATTTTCTCACAGTGCTGAGTTGCCAACTAGACTCAAACAGCTCCAGTCCAGTGAAACATCACCATGTTTTCAGCATGCAGTCGTCATTGAGATGTGTTTATTTCAAAGTAACTCTCATTGTTGGTTTATTTTTTAATGTAAAGCCTTTCACTAACCATCTAGATGTGCAGAAAACAATTATTACAACATAAAAATAGTGTTAGATGAAAGATAAAATATGTTGTCAAATGAACAAATGAATGAATGTTCCTCAAGAAAAGATAGAAAAAAGCCAGAGAGGCACCAGTTTTCTAGTTATACTAAGAAAAAAATGACCAAAAACAGCAGAAATGACAGACATATATGAGAAATAAATGACAACCGAACACAAGGGATTACCACGACTGAGGGCCGTGTGGCTCGTTTTAGTGATAGATGGCTTCTGCTTTCAAACAGGACAATGAGAAAGCTCCGTCTTTTGAGGGGACATCAGGCAGAACGTTCAGCAATTGTTCCAGTGTTTCCTGCTCTCCGCAGAGGCAGCAGGGGATCCTATGGCCCAGTAGCCTTACATCCAGAACCTGATCCACTGGGAGCTCGTGGTATTTCCATTAATAGAGTCCAGAGCCAAACAGGTTCATTTGCCCAGAGCAGCCTGCCATTCCTCTCTCCTTCCTTTTCTCCGTTCATTTAGAGGAAAAACATTATTTACAACCCTTTTAACCAACCTATGTGTAGCACTTTAAATTATTTTAAATGTCTATTAATTGAACTTACAAATCTAATTATTGGTACCACTTTACAATAAGGCTCCCCTTATAGATGGCTAATACATAGTTTATAGATACATGATTAATTCCTCTATAAACACTTTATAAATAATTAATAACTGTTTATTATGTATTAATTAAGGGCGAGAAAGGGACAAAACTAACAATTTTCTTGCCAAATAGTGAGCCAAATCTGCCACCTCTACATTTCATCTAGAGTTGTTACATTAAACATTTCAGACAGTTACTACCTTGTAAGCACAATAAGCATTTGTAAATCCAATTTTTTTCAAGATGTAATATTACTTGTAAAATCTTATAATGCAGTGATAAAGTGCAGTTTTGTCTCTGTCACCCTTAACTAATGCATAATAAGCAGTTATTAATTATTTATAAAGTGTTTCTAGAGGAATTAATAACATATCTATAAACTATTTATTAGGCATCTATAATGGGAGCCTTATTGTAAAGTGGTACCTAATTATTTAACTGGATTATTGTGAATATTTTCAAGTTGCTGGAAACAAAAACAGCATGATGTGTAAAATGTTGATGAAAGCATGGTTATTCAATTCAATTCAATTTGATTCAATTCAATTCAATTCAATAACCATGCTTTCATCATCATCATGAAAACAAGATTTGTTGCTGTTATTCAAAATATAAATAATTTTCTTCTAAAGATGGCATAATTAATTTGTATTTTTATTTTTACAAACCAATGCATTCTATTTTTTTTATTTACTTTTAACAGAACATTTACACTTTTCTAGAAGTATTGTTCCTCATCATCCTTTAATTGCAAATAATGAGAGTATCTAGTATCCAGTTTTAACAGAACCTCCACAGATGTGCAAGTTGTCCATGTCCAGTGTAAAAACACTTATAATATCCCAAGTGTTGGCTTTAGACTGTGCCTTCATAACAAGCCAGATGGGCTGTATAGTTCTTAGCCCAAAGGATGAGGTGTCATCAGTTTCTTGAGGCTGGAGGACAACTTTCCACTTCACGTGATCTCATTTGTAAATTGAATGGTGTGTTCTCTCCAGTTTTTATGTCACTTCCCTTGCTTTTGTAGAGGCAGATAAAATAAACATGATGTGAAAATGGCTTTAAGATGCATTACTGACCCTACACGTTGAATGTTACCTGGTTTGAAAACACGACTGGATGCATTTGCTCTCTGAAACTGTAAAAGATGACGCTTGTGTGCTCAGTACTGTGTATTCACACCACCCTAACTAAACAGCAGCACGCAGCACAATCAAAACATCTTTTTTTATTCTAAATTAGGAACCAGACAGCAGAAACCTCTATAAGCAACCAATCAAAAGCTCCCTATAGTGCTGTGTTTCAGTGGGGTAATATTGTTCAACCGGGGATGCGACAAAACATCCTTCCTAATTGCTCCAGATAGATTCATCCTCCACTCAACTACTCTTTGGGGGGCCATGTGTTTGACTCTGGCAGAACAGAAAAAGGTTTTAATGATGTGGGTCTGATTGTTTTGTCAGCGCTCGTACAGAATGTGGAATCAATATGCCAAATCCAAGAGACTCTGGGGCAGATCTGGGAACATCTGAGTTGATTATTCTTGTAGCCACGCTACTCTTTTCAGGGACGATTCGTTTAAAAGCGGTTGTTACCGGGCAACACTTCATTCGTGAGATTTTTTTTTTTTTCTTCAGCGCAGCCTTGAAAGTTGTTCTTTATAACATCTTTTTTATTTTTTACAGTTTTGTAAACGTTCTCCAACATTCAACTCGCAGTGATTTACACCGCGACTGCACACAGGGTTCAACCTCGTGAGGTTTGGCACATACCACGCTGACTTTGACGGCGTAGAGCAGGTCAAAGGGCAACGCGGCCACCAGGTCGATGATGAACCACGTGGTCAGGTAATGGATGCAAATCTGTCGAGCGTCGAAGATCACCTGGCCTGACTTGCTGACGTAAGTCGTGCGAAAGTTAAAAACAATGTCTGGAAAGAGAAGAGTGCGGGTTTGGTTATTAAAATGCAGGTAAACGGTTCACACATCAAAATGGTTCAGTCAGCATCCGACCTATGATGAACAGAATCTCTACACCAATGTCGCTGACAGTCGTGCTGCGGGTCACGTCATCATCGTCTCCGATGAAGCACACGTTGTACGGCACCGTCACGGCTACGTAGAACGTAGCGAGCAGAATCAGCCAGTCCCAGCCTGCTTTGAATGTACTGTAGTGGAGTAAGATGAATTTGGACTTCTTGGCATCTGCCACTTTGTACTCTGGTAAGGCAGGCAAATCCCCAAACACGTTCTGAGCAGGAGAAAAACACACATCACACATAGAAAAATCATTAAAATGACTTTGGGTTGAAGATATAACTGATAAAAGTGGTTTCCTGAAATTTAATAAACAATGGTGGTTTCCATTTTATTTTGGGTCAGAACTTTGCGGTACTGAAGAATATAAAATGTTTTTTAAAGAGTTTTACATTAACCAGTAAGTAACTAGGCTGTGTGGTTAAGTTATGGTGTCTGGAAAATAGTAAAAGATTGCTAATGCATTCTGTCGTTTGGGTAAACTGTTAGTTGTTCAACTTGGTTAATTTCCTGTCGGCTCAACAAAGTTCTATTTTATTGCATATTTATTACTTATTGTTTGTTTAATTGGGCGAATATTTACTATTACCTGCGTACACCAAAAACTTTTATTTCAAAGTAAGCATTAAAATGCTGTTTGAATCACAACCTAAAATGATAGTTTGGATTATTTTAGGTGGGGCTTTGTAGAGTTTTTATCAGCAGTCAGTGTCTTACCTGCAGTAGACAGCAGTCAAATAATTTTAGTTTGAATATTTAAACAAGAAAGAAAATAGATAACAGCTTGTTAGACCATTTAAGAGTGAATTTTGACAACTCAAAGCATTTATAGAACTCAATTATAGTAGTCCCTCATAAATTGCGTGGGACCGTACCCTGCAGCCCCGCGATAAGTGAAAAACCGCGAAGTAGGGATAGTAGTACAAGTAGTAAGTAGTAGTTTATTTTAG